GTGGGGGGGGTGGGGGAGCCACTCCTGGAGCTATTTTGTCATCTGGACAGGACCTCAGAGGAGCTCAGTGACGTGCTCGAGCCCCAGGCAGGGTAGAGCCAGCATCCCGAGCCCTCTCTGGGGCGCAGGGCATCCAGACACCGCAGGCTCCTTCTCGGACACGGCAGTGCAGAGTCCTGGGCTGCCTGGGCACAGCTCGTTCTCATCCTGAGCAAGCCACCCCGGGGACAGGGCACCCACATGGAGACGTGCACCACGTGACAGGCAGGGCAGCAGGGTCCACTGAGGAGCCAGGCAGGGGTCAGGGCTGCAGCCGGGGGCCAAGCCTCAGCCACCACCTCTCTGGGCTTCTGCCCCTGTGAGGAAGGCCCTGGGTGGCTGATCTGGGGGCACTGGGTCACAGCAGGGCCACACCTGGAGTGAGCACCAGGAAGGACCACGCCCTGGGCCAGTGCCGGCTCCCCCACCCCTGGTGCTCCCGTTCTCGTGGAGGGCACGGCTCCCTCACATGAAGCCCCTGACTCAGGCGTGTCTGGGAGGGACCACTTGCCCAGCTCCAGCCCTAGCCTGGTCTGGCAGCCCAGGTGACCTTCCCTAGCTGTGGCCTGACGCTGTCTGCCAGCATCCCCTTCATGTTATTGTCACCCCCTTCACATGACGTCAAATCCACTCTCTTTTGCTCTGCTTCCTGGTTGTATTTTGGAAGAATGCTTTGCACCATTTCTGGGAGGGAAGGGTGACCTCCTGTGTGGGGGGCCCTGGGGATGGAAGGCCCCTAGCACAGCGTCTTTAAGGAGGGCTAAGCCCTGGGCCAGCTCCATGGCCTGGTGGTTACGGCAGCCAGATCACACGTGGTCAGCCTTGCTGTGTGAGTCCTAGACTCAGCGGCTTGAGAAACACACCGGGCGTGTGAGCGTGCTTGCCCCAAATCCTGAGAGGGGGAGAATGGAGGAGGAGAGGTTGCAGTGTGACCATGCCCGTGGAGGTGAGGGGAATGGAGGAGGAGGGGTTGCAGTGTGACCATGCCCGTGGAGGTGAGGGGAATGGAGGAGGAGGGGTTGCAGTGTGACCATGCCCGTGGAGGTGAGGGGAATGGAGGAGGAGGGGGTGGAGTGGTACCATGCCCGCGGAGGTGAGGGGAATGGAGGAGGAGAGGTTGCAGTGTGACCATGCCCGTGGAGGTGAGGGGGAGTGGAGGAGGAGGGGTTGCAGTGCGACGGTGCCCGTGGAGGGGAGGGGGAGGGGGGGGGGGGGGGGTGTACGGCGACCGCGACCATGCCCGTGGAGGTGAGGGGAATGGAGGAGGAGGGGTTGCAGTGCGACCATGTCCGTGATGGTGAGGGGAATGGAAGAGGAGGGGTTGCAGTGTGACCAAGCCCGTGGAGGTGAGGGGGAACCCAAATGCCCTCCGTGCTCTGTGACTTGGAATGATGTCGAGCTACCCGCCACACTGCAGAGGAAGCCGACGAGGGCCTGGCTTCTCCAAGTCACATCCAGGGCTGGGGCTTCTCAGCCCTGCCCTCTCGGGGAGGCCCCCCACAGGGCTGGACGGCTGTGGTCATGGGCCCCTCTCCCCTGACCTCCATATCCTTTCTAGATGGTGAGCACCAGCTCCGTGGACCCTGCAGTGGCGGCCGATGGCGGGTGTGTCCCAGGGGTGAGTGACTCACACTGGCGATCGACAGGCATTGGGAGTGGGTCGCTGGACAGAGTGACCTGGAGGGAGGGGTCGAGGGTGACATAGCCTGGGTGTGCGGGCATGAGACAGTCTGGGAGTGGAGCCTGGCAGGGCAGGGTGCCCATTGTCAGGGCTGGCGGCAGCCACACAGCTGTGCGGACACACACTGGGCCGCACAAGGGGCCTCCTCAGGAAGCTCGTGGCAAACAGCCCATGCCCCGAGCCCCGGCTGGGCCCTGGTTGGGTCCCTGTCCTGTCTGCACCCTCACCTGCTGTGGCAGCTCGGCAGCAGGCCCGCTGTGTCCACATGCTGGCCCACCTGGGACTCCCTCCGAGGACAGGGGAGGCTGTGTATGCTGAGGGCGTGGTACCTGTCACATCGGGAGCATCGGCCGCCAGCCTGGTGCTCACAGCACTGGCAGGAGGCTGACCCTGGAGCCCTGGTGTGACATTGCCCATTCCTGGGGAGCGGTGCTCTGGGCACCTCACCTAGCCCTGCTGGTCCCCGGGGAGACTAAACAGAGCCACTGGGCCACTGTCCCGGAGCCCACCACCCAGGGCAGCCTTCTCCCAGTGCATCTACAGACCCATCTGGGCACAACCCATACCCTTTCCTGCCTCCCTGCCCTAGTGCCTCTCCACCTCGGCCTCTCTGTCTCCGTCTCTATCTCTGTCACTCTGTCTCTTTCTGTATCTTTCCACCCTTTTCTCTGTCTGTCCTTCTCTCTCTCTCCCTCCGTCTCTCTGTCTCCATATCGCTCTCATACCCCAGTGCTCTGTCATGGTGGGCGTGTGTCTGGCTGGCCGGAGCGTCAACAACTCACGACTCAGCCTGCGAGTCCCGCCCCCCGAGCTCTCTGCAGACACCCACAGGTTACCGCAGCTATCCTGGGTTTCTGCTGGGCCAGTCCTATTTGAAGCAGGAAGCAGCTCAGGGCAGTGGGGCAAGCTGGCCTTGAAGGAGGAAGGGGCCGCCATGGGGACAGACTGGAGGGAGCAAGGGCTGGGCTGACGGTACTTCCCCAGGCCTCCCGCCCTGATCTACTCTCTGGAGGAAGAGTCAGCCCCTCCTGCTGCTGCTGCCCCCGGTGTGGGACAGTGCTGAGTCCTGAATGGGTCTAGCCCCAGTGCCTGGGTTAATTCTGTCACCTCCCCAGAGGCCAGAACTCCACTGGGACTTGTAAGCCGTGAAGACCCAGGCTTGGAGTTGGCCCTGGAGCGAGGCCCTGCACAGGCGCTGGGTCATGTGTGCCCTACGCAGGGAGCTCAGAGAGGCTGTGAGGGCCTGCAGGCTGTGGGGGCTGCTCCTGTTGGCCACCCATGTCAAGGCTTGTCTAGGCCAGGCAATGGTCCGCAGAGCTGCTGGGTTGTGCTGGCTGCTGGGCCGTGTGGAGGAACATCCACCCGCACTTTGCCTCCTGGGGCTGGGCTCACCTTTCCCTGGTCTGCAGTGCCCCCTGGCAGCTGGCCCTGGGGTCAGGCTCCAGTTCAGGTGTCCCACCTCTGTCCCTTCACCCACACCACACTGGAACAGGAACCCACTGAAACAACAGCCCCGCCACCCTGGCCAGGACTCCTCCCCCCACAGGTGTGTCTGGCTGCCCGGCCGTGTGTTGCTCACTGGTGTCTTCCTGTGAGTAGAGATTTTGGGGGCCGCGGGGAGCTCTGTGCGGCTGTTCAGCTGCTCAGTGAGTGTGGCGTGACTGCCACTTGGTGGACATTTTACCAAGTGTGGCCTTTGCTACACTATCCCATATCTACGTGGACCTTTCCAAGTAGCAGGGAGGGGCCGCCCCCACACCTCTACCTGGCCATGCCAAGGCCATCCCTCTCCTCTCCATCAGGCCCCTTCCCGCAATGCTGAGCTGCCCATCCCCGGGCAAGGCACCCGTGCCACTATCAGGGCCTCAGTTGGGACCTCACCCTGCTGGCCTCCTCCTGTTTGACCAATCGCAGCAGTGCCGTGTCCCCAGGATCCTGTCTGACGTCTGGTAGAGCTGAGGCAATGCTACTGATTGGGTCTGGCTCTGTCTCGCTGAGCGACCTGACACGCTGCTGAATGGGCTAAAGAGAGAGTGCCCAGGGATAGCCCCGACGGCCCTCGGTGGGGACTGCTGGCTTTCTTACTTCTGTTTGTTTGCTACAGAGTGTGTGTGCTCGCTGGGGGGAAGAGAGAGGGAAGTGATAAGTCACCTCGGGGGGATGGTCACACCAAAATCCCATTTCCTTCACTCCCATCTTGGGATTTGGGACACGCACACACATATTCCTGGTATGTTTTTCCAGCTGCCAGCTCTGGGACTTGAACGTAGTCAGCCATGTGGAACCCAGCGCCTTAAGCTCCACGCCACCCGCTGGCCCAGCGAAGACCGCTTTCTGGGTTGACATTGGTGCATTTGGGGTGCTTTGGGGTGGAGTCGCTCAGCCAGTTACCGTGGCAGCCACAGGTCTCCATTGTCCTGGGAAGAGATTGGCCCAGCCTCTTGTTCATTTATTTCCTCCCTGAGTGAGACGGCGGGCAGCAGCCCCCGTAGTGCCCCAGTGTTTTGGGGCCTCAGCTAGCCCTAGATCACAGGCACGCACATGCCTGGTATTCAGGGAGGTCTGGACACAGACCTGGACCACCATGTGATAGGGCTCACCGAGTGGCACATCTGATGGAGGGGCCGCCTTCCTGGGCCAGCCTTTCCGGTACCCTGATGTCCTTGTGGGACATCCAAGCTCCTTCTTGGGTGATCTGTTGATAACCTCACCCAAAGGAGCAGGCCTGGCTGGAAGACCCATCTCTGGCACACAGGTGGGGTCCTGCCCCTCAGGCACCAGGTCACCTGCCGCCTGCAAACCCAGCTGACCTCAGTGCTGGGAACCGCCGAGGTCAGGGTGGGCCGTGGTCCTTCCCCAAGGGAGCTGGTGCAGGGCAGGGGCCTGCCGTCTGAGCGCTTGACTCAGCTCCGCTGCTGACCAGGGAGACTTGCCTACCAGAGGGAACTGCTGGGACCCTTGGCATAGGCCCAGCCCTGAGCTGCCTGCAGCCCCCATCTCTTCAGCCAGGACACCACTGGTCCTTGGGGAAGAGCTCGCAGCTGCTTATCCTGCCTCATCACTGCCCTCCTTCCACCTCATGGGGATTGGCTGCTCCTTCCGCCCTGGAGGACTCCTGGTACCTCCACGGCTTCCTGCGTTCTCATTGCCATGCAGTTCGGTCCCTGCTGCTGTGACGGGTCCCTTCCAGGGTCCCTGAGAGCTGGATTTCTGCCCTTGGCCAAGGTGCAAGTGGGGGCTCCCTACAGTTCACTACTGCTACCTCCCAGACCCTCAGAACCCCCAACTGGAAGACAGAAATGGCAGGGTCACCCAAGGTTGGTGGAGGGTGGGGACCATGGGCCATGCAGGTCTCATGGATGGCATGTCCCTCTTCTGTCCTTTTCCTTCTCACTGTCCCTTCCCATTCTGGGTACTTTCTCTGTTCTCCTTTTCAGTGTGTGGTGGCACCTCACCTCTCCCATCCTGAGAGCTGATCACAGGTGAAGAAGCCTGAGTAGGACAGAGAGCCTGGGGCTGGATGGGGTGGAAGGTTTGCTGTTGGGTCTGTGATGCTTTCTCCTTGGTGGGCTGAGAGCTGAGATGAACCAGTGAGCCCAGGATGCCTTACCCTCATGTCTGCACGTGACAGGAATAGTGCCCCTGCCCCTTCCAGGAGCCAGCCCTGTCCAGGGGCTCCTGTGCCAGGGGGTTATATGCCAGCCTCAAGGTGACAGGACCTGCAGGTGGGGTGATGAGGGGTGACCCGCACCAGGCCACACAGCCAGGAAGGGCAGGGCCAGAACTTGCACCTGGCAGCCCCATCAGGACTTGAACTTTGAAAGGCTCCTTTCCTTGGCCTGGAGGAAAGAACTTCAGTCAGGACTCCATGATCATGAGGCTTGGGGCCTAGGCAGTCCTCACTCACCCCATTCTAGAAGTGGGGAAACAGTCTCAGAGAGGAGAAGGCCACAGCCTCACAGCTGATAAAGCGTAGGGCAGGAATCTGGGATCTCTCCATCACCTTGTTATCAGGCACGGACAAAGAAGCGTGGTTGGATGCCCCGGGTGGAGTTGCCCCCGTCCTCCACGCACTGTCGTCTGTCTTCCGTCCTCCATTAGAGGTCCAGGCGGCCTCACAGGAGCCAGAGAAGTGAGGCCGAGCCCACCTTGGCGCTCCCAGCTTCCTCGCCTGCCTGCCTGGATGTTCCACCCTGTCTGCATATGCAGGCACATGAGTGTACATGTATGTTCACTCATGTGGTGTGCCGGGTGGGTGTGGATGTCTCCGGACACAGAGCCCGTGTATAGCCAGCTAAAAGGGGAGCCCAGGAGCTTGGGACCCACCAACTCTGCAGGTATGGGAAGCCCAGTCCTGGAGCCCGGAGAGCCTCTGCAGACCACTGCCTGCCCAGCAGGTGCTGTCCTCCCCTGCTCAGCCCCCAGTTTTCGTAGATGTGCCAGATAAGCTCATTGGGCAAAGGTCTTGACACATTGGCATGGCCAACCACTCTTCCCTCCATCCCCCTATAAGTTCCTCTTGCCTAGTCATGAGAGCGGCCTTCCACGCTGGACAGAGCAGGGCCCTGCATGACTCGGAGGCTGACCATGGCTGTCTGCCTCCTTGCAGCTCGAGGCCAGAAAGCTGTCCTCTAAGGCCAGGCGTGACAAGGAGAAGCAAAACTGCCAGAGCTGCGGGGAGACCTTCAACTCCATCACCAAGAGGAGGCACCACTGCAAGCTGTGCGGGGCGGTGAGTCGACAAGAGGAGGCGCTGTGCTCGCATGGGATGGGCGGTCCCCCGCACTGGCAGAGCCACAGCATCCTCTGATGGCAGCTGCTGGGAACCGCTGTGCATGCGACCTTGGCGGGCTCCCTGTGAAGCATACATTCACCCTGCAAGGGCCCCTCCACGTCCCGCTCACAGGGCAGGCGCCATTGAGTGGGAGACTCCTATCTGAAGGGGAAGGCCCTGCATTTCCCCAGCCAGCTCCAGAGCTGGGCCAGCTCTCCCTGCAGTTGAAAATGGTCTGGGTTTGGAGCCAGGTGACCTTAAGAACAAAGGGATGGCAGGGACTCATGCCATGTGAGGCGAGGCGCAAGAGAGATGGGGTGGTGGGAGCTCCCTTCCTGCTGGCCTGCGCTCCAGCACTCCAGTGGTGCTGAAAGCTCTGGGGGAGTAATGAGATCAGACATCCCTCCACCTGGCACCCCAAGTGCAGGTCATCTCCATTCCCTCGTTTTGCCCCAAAGCCCTTCCTCCTGGCAGCAGGCTGTTATTACCTGACAGTGAGTATAAAAATGCTCATGAGGAAAGAGCTGATGAATCAAATGTTTTTCAGTTAAGATATTGAACTTGAGAGGCCAGGCAGTGGCATAGTGGTTAAGGTGCTGGACTCTCACATGGTCGACCATGGTTCAAGTCCCAGACCCACTGGTTTGAAACTCAGGCCTGGTGTAAGTGTGTATATTCCCAAAATTCTGAGAGGAGAATGGAGGAGAAGGGATTGTGGTGTGGCCATCCCCCCAGGGAGTGGTTTCTCACTTTCTGTCTCTCTCTGTGTCTCTGGAGAGTTGTTCTATAGCAAAAATCTCTTTCTAAAAAAGGTATTAAAGGTATTAAAATTGAACCTGTGTTAGCAAGTGGATCTCAGTGTCAAGCTGACTCGGAGCTCTTTTTGCAAAGGACACAGCAGCCTGCACCTGGACTGGTGTTCCTCACCATGCCTTTCTACTGGATTGTTGGAAATGTTCTGATGCATTTTTGCATAGAAAGACAGAAAAATACATAATGACTTCTGATGTCCCAATATAACACCTTACTATGCTGATAAGGCAGGAGGCTAGGGGAGGGCAGAATAAATGAACACATCATTGAGTGGATGGATAGATGACTAGTGATGGACGAAAAGATGGGTGGATGGGTGGATGGATGAATGAACAGACAAATGGATAGATAGATGGATGGTGGTGGATGGATGCGTGGGTGAATGGATGGATAGATGGGTGAATGAACAGGCAGATGATACATGAAGGTATGAATGGGTGGATGGATGGGTGAGTGCATAGATGGGTGGATGAATGGGTGAATAAATGAATAAGTGGATAGATGGGCAGATGGATGGGTGAATGAGTGAATGAGTGGATAGATGGGTGGATGGATGGGTGAATGAATGGATGAGTGGCTAGATGGGTGGATGGGTGGGTGAATGAATGGATGAGTGCATAGATGGGTGGGTGAATGAATAGATGAGTGCATAGATGGGTGGATGGGTGGGTGAATGAATGGATGAGTGCATAGATGGGTGGATGGGTGGGTAAATGAATGGATGAGTGGATAGATGGGTGGATGGGTGGGTGAATGAATAGATGAGTGCATAGATGGGTGGATGAATGAGTAAAGGGCTGGATAAATGAATGGACGGCTGGAAGGGTGAATAGTAGGTGGATAAGTGGATAGTTACATGGATGATGCATAGATAGGTGGGTCTATGTGTGTGGGCGAGTGGTAGATGGAGGCTGGACGGGGGACGAATGGAAGCTAGATGGATGACTAGGTGAAAGATGGCCAGATGGGCAGATAAGTGTACTTCTGGATGATGGATGATGTGTGGATGGAAGGATGGGTGGACAGATGGATGATGATTAGTGTGGTGGGTGGTAGAGGATGGATGGGCAGGCGCATGAGTGATGTGGTCCCCTACCATCAGTTTGGGACTTGGTTTGTGCACGTTAGGATTAGGACATTTAACTCAACCTTAATCCTTTCCCCAGTAGACTTCAGTGAAATTGGTTGCTCTAGTTTAAGAACTATCTCTGGAATATATACCTTGGCCCCTGCTCGGCTCTGGGCTTCAGGATCTGTGACTATGTGGGATGAGAAGGTCCAGCCGCTGTTCATCTTTCCTGGGGTCATTGTCCTCATGGCTGCCCTAGACCTCCCACCCAGCAGAGGGGCTTGGGGATGAGGCACCCTGGCTCAATGCCCTCACAGCCACATATCTGCAGCACGTCCCACACAGGACAGGCGTGTTGGTGCCCATCCATCCTGGGCACACACAGGCCGGGATACACAAAGGCCGCCTCTGCCTTTCAGCAGTTGTGAATAGTGTCGCCACAGACACGTGTGTAGATTCCTCATAACCTTTAACTCCCCGCTGCCAGTTCTGGGTGTGCACACACAGTGGAATCGCTGGCCGGGTAATCCTGCATTTAATGTTTCAAGGACCCGCCATAGTATTCCCAAGGTGACTGTGCCACTTCCCACTCCACCAATGGCACGCAGGGCTCTCGACTCTCCACACCCAGTCAACACTTGGGAATTTTGGTTTTCAGAGAGCTCTTCTGGGGGCTGTGAAGTGGTTTTCTGCTGTGGGTATTTTTTTTTTTTTAAAGTTTATTCTTATTTTTTCCATGAGCAAGAGAGAAAGAAAGAGACAGCCAGCTAGACAGCCCCCAGCGGCGTCTTTCAACTGCCCTCTACCCCATCCTTGGCCAGCCTGGAGCTGGGGCACATGTGTGCCAGGTGGACTCAAGGTCACCCAATTTACACTGGAGCCTCCAGGCAGGATGTCTTGCACTTTCCTGCTGGGTCAATCGGCCCACCTGCTGTGGCACCTGTGTGTGTGTGTGTGTGTGTGTGTGTGTGTGCATGCCCATGTGTGTAGACATCCTAATGACCGATGCTCTCCTTCTTGTGCATGTAGACAGACCCCTGGACTCTGGGCCCCAGGGCAGGGGGGTCAGGCCCCAGTCACCTGGCAGAGCCAGCCCTCTCCCTGCCTCCGCCCTGTCATGGCCCTGTCTTGCAGGTCATCTGTGGGAAGTGCTCTGAGTTCAAGGCTGAGAGCAGCAGGCAGAGCCGCGTCTGCAGAGGCTGTTTCCTGGCGCAGCCCGAGGCCCCCGTGGAGCCCAAGCAGAGCATGGAGGTGGGTGCTCCTGGCCTCTGAGCCCTCACTCCATGCTTCAACGGACTGTTTCCAGAGCTTTCCTGGGTCCAGAATAGATGAGGGCCTGGCGGGGGGGAGGGGGGTGGCATAGACCATGGGATCCAGAAAAGGTCACTGGTGGGACACCTAAAACCAAGCATGTGTGCACTCCAGGCTTCTCAGGCCTGCAGGGCTGAGGCTGGGAACTGTCCGTGCTGGGGGTTGAACGGGGACACGTGTCCTTCACTCCTGGTCACCCTAATTGGAGGCTGTAGCCAGGGGCTGCCCAAGGCCTACCAAGGGAGCCCCTGCTTGTGTGGTGGCCCAGGAGGGTGGGCAAGGCCTGGAGGTGAGGAAGGTGCTGGCCCCTCCTGCCCTTCTGCCCTCCTGCCCTCCTGCCCCACTGCCTTCCAGTGCCCTTCTTCAGGAGCAGTCCCTATTTTATGGGGTCGCAGGGAAACTGGGAGGAGAAAACGGGGTTGTCCACCTGGTAAGGACTGAGGCGCCCTCGGGGAGTTCAGGAAGCCTCCCACAGGGCGGGAGCCTCGGGCACCTGGTGGGAGCACTGCTGTGCTCAGAGCCCCATCAGGTCCTGGCCTGCCTAAGGCCACAGGTGCAGTGCCTTCACTGAGCTAGGATGAGCTGGGAGAAGCCCTGCCACGGCCTGCTTGGGCGCCCTCGCCCCTGCATTTTAAGTCCTGAGATGTCCAGGAGCCCCAGGTCTGCAACTCCAGGGTATGGGCCTTGTGGGCAGGCAGGGGGGCCCTGGATCAGAGGGGCACAGCTCCAGTGGGTGTGTCTGAGCCATGACCCGATGGCTCTGTAACTACTCTGAACACGTCACAGGGGTGAGGGGCTCTGTCCGTGCGGCACGTGCGTGCGAGTTTCTCAGGGTATGTGAGTGTGGTGTGAGTGTCACGTGTGTGTGCTGTGTATGGTGGTGCAGAGCTGGAACACGCACCATCCCTTCTCTGCGGGCTAGACTCGGCACCTGCTCCAGGCCTCCCTCGCACTTTGGTGCCACTGCCCTGCAGAGCGTCGGCCCGCAAGCAGATGGGCTTTGCAGCGCCATCCTGCAGGCCTGGCCTCAGCCTGGGTGGGCTGGGCCAGCTCCACCTCGAGGCAGGCCTGGGCTGCATCTCCTCAGGAGACTGACCTGTGCTTCCTTGCCCCTAGAAGCAGCCAGCTGCAGACCCCCGGCCCAGCCTGTTCTGCAGCCCCCTGCGGCTTTCGGACAGCGGCACGACCTGGAGCGAGGTGTGGGCCACCATCCCGGCGTCAGACCCCCAGGTGTTGCACCTGCTGGGAGGAAGCCAGGTGCGTGTCCCCACCCTAGGCCACATGCTGGGCAGTCTGCTCTGATTCTGAGCCCAGAGCCTCAGGCCACTGAGTCCGGTAGGCTTGGCCCACCTGCCTGGGACTGACCCACTCCGGTGGTGCTGGTCACCTGGAGCCTCAGTGACACTAGCAGCCAGACTGCTGTCTGGTTTCTCCTCACAAGAGACAGGATGCAGAAATGCCAGGACCCCAGGGCCAGCCATAGTGCAAGGAGGGGCAGGGTGGGGCCCAAGAGCCGGCGCCTCCTTTCTGTGTGCTCATGTTCACCAACCCCTAACGCATGCTGGGAGGGTGAGAATGGCAGGCCCCAGCAGGCGTGGCTCAGGAAGGGCCCTCACACCGTCCCTTTCTGCCCAATTCCTGCCTGCTCCTGCAATGGCGTCTGGACGTCCCCTTCCCACATTCTCTGCAGACACAGGCAGTGTGGGCGTGGGGGGCTGGGTGTGGCTATGTGGGAGGGGCTCACATCGCTGGGGTAAGGCCAAGCGCCCAGTGACCCCGCCTCCTCTGCTGCAGGACGGTCAGCCACTCACAGTCCCTCTGCCTGGCTGCGAAGTGAGTGTGCTGGACCTTGAAGACAGGCTGGACTCTGGGCACGTGTGGAAGTTGCAGCAGGCCCAGCAGGCCTGGTACCTGAGTGCCCCGACGGCGGAGCTGCAGCAGCGGTGGCTGGAGGCCCTGAGTGTTGGTGCCCGGGGACACACGGCCCAGGACAGCCCGGGGGCCCTGTAGCCCCAGGCCCTGATGGGCCCGGCTGCCCTTCGCTCCTTCATGTTGGACCTGTGCTCTCTTGGGAGGCCGCATCAGAGGTCACATGAAGAGTCCCTGAACTGCTGAGAGCAGGCCAATAGCTCGGGGCTCTTGGCCCTGGACAGTCCCTCCATCTCAGAGAGGAAGAAACTGAGGCCCAGAGAGGGGCAACCACTTACCCAGGGTCGCCCAAGTCTCGGCCGCAAAGGCAGAAGCGGCTCAGAGCAGGGTGTGGGCCAGCCGCTGACGTCGCCATCATCTGAGGGGCCAGGGCAGGAGGAGGCAGCCTTGTCCGCAGTCTGCGGGTGGAGCTGCACCGCTCCTCCTGTCCACACCGGCTACACCGCGTGAGCGGAACTGCGACTTTCTGCCCTCAGCTCTGCCTCCTTACCCCACCCTGCCAGGCCTGCCCATCCTGGCTGGACCACAGCGCTCAGAAACGGCTGGGGGGCCGTGCAGCCAGGGAGTGGCCGGCTGTCCCTCTGTCAGGGTGTGCTTGCCTGCACAAATAAATGCTGGCCGCCAGCAGGGTGCAGCCCGGCTCCCTCTCTGACCCCTGGGGGCACCCCGCAGGGTAGGTGCAGGCGGCCTGGGTTGGCAGGAACATTTCTGCATATGCCCCTGTGGCTGGGAGAGCAGGGAGCTTCTGTGGAGGCTCTGACTGGCTCCCGAGGGCCTAGGGTGGGGGTGCTGAGGGCCTCTGGGAGAGGGCAGGGAGGTCGAGCCCAGGATCCGGCACCCCTGTGGCACTCATCAAGCACCTGGCAACCTCCAGGGTGCCAGCCTCAGGCTGAGAGCAGCCGTGGGAGCCCACAGTGGATGCCAGCTGTGGTGAGAGGGCAGGCACTGGCAAACCTCAGAGAACCAGAGGGTTGTGGCGGGTCTGTAACCCCACGCAGACCCTGCGGGGGCCCTGGGCCTGCCCTGACTCCCTCGGTGTGCCATGAGGGCTTTCCTGGCTCATGCCCAGGAAGCTGAGGCTCCGTCGGGTGAGAGGCCTCGGGCGTTGCCAGGTGGGTCCAACAGTCACCGTGTAGGCGCCCGGCCCGACGACTGCTGCCCAAGGCACCCGCCCCGTCCCTGAGCTCGGAGGCTGCTGTGGGCTGGGGGGATGCCAGCACGTTCCCTGAGCACCTACCGCAGTCCCAGGGGGCTCCTTTTAAGGATGGGACTCTGTCCCCGACTGCCCCCAGCAGGTCCTTTCTATCATCGCACCACATTCCAGGAAGTGTCACTTGACAGCTGAGGAAACCGAGTCACAGAGAGGCGACCTCTGTGACTTCCACAGTCCCAGAGCCCAGTGGAGCTGACCCCGGAGCAGTACCATGGGGCCCAGAGGCTGTGCTGTGGCGTCCCCAGCGTGGGCCCCAGCCTGGGCCTGCTCCCCTCCCGCACACAGCCAGGGTCCCGCATACAGGACTCCCCCCTCTGCTCAGCACACTGAGGGGGCACTGAGGACAGAGGGACAGGAGGGCTCAGTAGCCCAACACCCCACTGGCTGCAGCCTGCAGTGAGGACGGGGCGGAGGTGGGGCTGGAGGTGGAGGCTGGGCTGCTCCTTCCCAGGGTTCATGAAATATGTCCAATATTTCGTGGCAACATGGAGGCCTCAGCCAACTGTCCCCGCCTGGGGCACTTTCAGACTTTACTAGCAGACCATCCTCTGACGTATCCTGACAGCCTTAGCTCCTGCCGCAGAGTCCCAAGTCTTGGTGGACCCGACAAACTCTGCATGATGGTCACAGGGCCCCAGAAGGCGAGTCCACTGGCAGGAGGGAAGAATGTTCAGATCTGAGCCACCTCAGGCCCCAAACTCTGTCACCAGCTACAGGGCACCGCGGGGTGCTGGCTGACCGCGACCGAGCTCCTTGTTCTCGTGAGCTGCTGTTCCCACCATTTCCAAACCTGTTCAGACGGTGGCAGCGAGGGCTGTGCAGGGCCTGCATGCTGCCCCCACAGCTGGCCTTTCTGCGGCCTGTCCCACATATCCCTCCTGCTGGGGCCCCAGCTAAAGGGCTACTAAAGGACAGGCTGCAGCAGGGCCTACACGTGGGGGTCAGGGCCACAGGCTGCCCATCTCCTGCCCACCCATTTGGCAGTGAGGCCAGTGCTGTTCTCAGCCCCTTCACTGTCCTTGCTCCCCCCAGGGCTGCCCCTTCCCTTCAGGAACAAGAAGCCTCCCAGATGGGGAAGAAGAGAAACGGGAGCTGGGCAGGGAGGGGCTCCTGGGGCCTCAGGTCTGAAGAACCTCCAGGGCAGGGCAGAGTCTGGGTGACCCACTGCCACAGCAGTTGGGGGCCTGGGTTGGGGCTCTCCTGCAGGCAAGGCTCCTGGTAGCAGCCCAGGGCTGAGGCTGGAGCATGCGGGACCTGAACAGTCACCTCATGCCAGAGCAGAGGAAAACAGAGAGAAAACCAGGGTGAGGGGAGTGAACGGCCTAGGGCAGAGGCTTCTGCTGGAGGGCAGAGGTCGGATGGAGCTCAATCCCTCCACACCCCCGTGGGTACTGGGCCTGCCGACCACACCGCCTGGCACGCCACCCCCAACCAGGCCAAGGAATGCTGGCTGCATCAGTGTGGTTCTGGGAACAAGCAGTGGGGCTCCACAAGGGCCTGCTGCAGGCCAGGCACCTCACACCTGCCATTAGAGAAGAAAAGCACGACTCGTCTTGGTAGTCGTGAAACTGAGGTCCAGAGAGTGGCCAAGTGAGTGTGCCCGAGGTCATGCAGTGAGGCCCAGAGAGGGGCCACGCGTGCCCGAGGTCACGCAGTGAGTAGGGGCCAGCGGGGACTCTGCTGGCCCACCTGTCCTTGCATCAGTGATAATGACGCAGCGGGCCTGAGTGCAGTTCACATCTAAGAAAATCTCGCTGAGGCACTTTGCAAGCACCCACTGCCCTGTGCTTGGCAATGGCCGCTGTGCTTGCAGGATCCTGTCTTTGGTCCTCACAGAACTTGAGAGGAAGCGGCTGCCATCCTCATCCTTACAGAGGAGGACCCTGTGCTTGGTTATCCCAGGAGCAGACCCTCCGACCTGGATTGGAATGCAAGGCCTTAACCCGGGAGGGGAGTGGAGAGATAGAGGGACGGAGTGGTGACCCAGCCGGGATGTTCTAGTCTGTTCTGCTGCTCATGACAGAAAACACCTGATTCCGGGTAATTTCTCAGAATAGAAGTTCATTCAGTGCCCATGTGGAGGCCCAGGCCAGACCCCATTTGTGTGGCCTCTGGCTGCATCAGGATATGGCAGGGCGGGGATGCACGTGTCTGCCTCTGCTCTAGTCTGCTCTTCTCGTCCCCTCCCGATAAACCCACCGGGAGGCAGCTGGGCCCTGCCCTAGTGGCTTTCGTACTCATGTCCTCCCACAGGCCCTCCTTCCCAGCACCGTGGTCACATGAAGTGCTCACCCTCTCAGTCCGACACAACCGAATTGCGGCACAGGATTGGGTGGGGCATCCTGGCCATAGCATGGAGTGCAGTAAATTGTAGTGCCCCCAAGAGTCACCTCTCCCCAAACCTCGGAAGATGGCCTTCTTTGGGGCTTGGGTCTTTGCCGACGTAATTAGCTCAGCTAACAAGAGGTCACGGTCACAACTGTTTAGGGAGGTGGTTGGGCTCAGTGTGGCCAGTGAGGGGCCTGAGACTGAAGGGCCAAAAGCTGGAGGCGATGACTGCCTTACAAGGCTGAAGTGAAGCGGAGGGGGCATCTGGGACGAGTCCACTCACCCAGACAGCAAGGAGCGAGAGAGGCCTGGGGCCACCCCTCCCTGGTCCAGGTGCTCCTGAGGTGAGTGCACCAAGACGGGGTCAGTGAGGGGAATGCGAGGCCCAGTGCAGGAACTCAGGGTACTTGGTCAAGTTCTCCGGCAGCGGAAAGGCGGTGCAGTGGTGCAGGCTTGGGGGCTTTCTATCTAGAACATGGAGGCAGGCACTGAGTGGTTGCCTTGCACACAGGGCAGGAACAGGACAGTGAGGGGTGCCACGGCAGCACTGGTGTGAATGAGATTAGGATGGCCACTGGGTCAGCCTGGGCCCAAACCCAGCCTTGATGTTTATGAAAGGGGCGGACGGTGCAGAGACACTCACAGGAAGATGACCATAGGGCGACAGAGCAGAGATGGGGTGATGTCACAAACCAAGGGATGGCGAGGGTCTCTGGGAGCCACAGAAGCCAGGAAGAGTGTGGAAGGATTGCCCTCAAAGCTGGAAGTGGTCATGGCCCTGCCAACACTTTGGTTTCAGGATCCCACCACCAGAACTGTGAACCAGGAAGCAGGATGCTGTTATAACAAATACCCAAAGATGTGGAAGTGGATCCAGGATTGGGTGATGGGCAGAGGCCGGAAAAACTGCTAGGAGCTTGATAGAAAAGCCTGGCCCTAGGGTTTGACTGTGTCCCCATGCTGGAAAGTAAATTGGTGTTGTAACAGTGCTGAGAGTCGGGTCCTTCAGGCAGTAATTAGGTCAGAGGGTTTTGCTCTCATGGATGTATCAAGGCCACTATCACAGGAGCGAGTTCCTCACAAAAGGAGGCATTCACTCTCTCTCCCTTTCCTCTGTTCTCGCTCTTTGTCCTCCCACCATGCATGGCCTTCCACCACATTATAATAGCAAGAAGGCCCTTACCAGTCCTGGCTCCTGGATATTGGACTTCCCAGCCTCCAGAACAGCAAGGCATACATTTCTGTTGTTTATAAATTACCCAGTCTGTAGTGTTCTGTTATGGCAACCAAAAATGGGCCAAGACAACTAGATTGCCTTGAAGCAATGGTTGTTAGATATATGGAATTTATTTAAGGTGCTCCTTGGAAGGACTTAGTAAGAAAGGAGGGCTCTAGAGAAAACTTCTATCGTCTTAGAGATAACAAATGTCATGGTTACCATATGAATGCTGGTGGCAAAAAAGCACTGAAGAGGCTTCTAGTGAAGACTCAGAGGGGAAAGGAGCATGTGATTGGACACTGGAGGAAACTGATCTTTGTTTAAAGGGTCAGAAAAAGTGCTTGAATTGTATTCCAGTGCTGAACAGAAAACAGAACTCGAAAGCAGTGAGCTTGGACATTCAGCCAGGGAGATTCCCAAGCAAAGTGTAGATGTGACTTGGTTTCTCCTTGAAATATTTGAGAGGAGGACCAGTAGATGATGTAGTGGTTGCATAGCTGGACTCTCACATGGCTGACTGTGGTTCGAGTCCTGGACCCAGTGGCTTGAAACTCAAGCCGAGTGCATGTGTATGCATTCCTAACATCTGGAGAGGAGGAGAACAGAGGAAAATGCACTGCAGTGTGGCCATCCCCCCCTGGGGGGTGATTTCACACTTTCTGTCTCTCTGTCTTCTCTGTCTGTCTGGCAAGCACATGCACCCTATGGCAAAGATATCTCAAAAAAGGGACCAGTAGTTAGCGTAATGGCTATGTCGCTGGACTCCCATGTAGTCGACAGCGGTTCATGTCCCAGACCCGGTGGCTTAAACTCACGCTGGGCACGTGTGCGTGCGTGCTTAAGATCCCGAGAGAAGAATGGAGGAGAAAGGATT